ATTTAAATCTACTCATATTTATGTAATTAAGTGTTTTAATGACTTGGCTGATTAATCTAAACAATAATGGACAGATTATTAAAACAATGGTTAGTTGCAGGCCCAGAGCAGACATGTGACAGGAAGTACCGGTGTGGGAGCGCAGGTGCACGGTCAGCTGGCTGGAGTTGCGGCTGGCGTAGGGACAGATCTGACACTTGAAGGGCCGCTCGTCGTAGTGGATCCTCAGGTGCTTCTTCAGACTGCTGCTGTCGGCGGCGGCGTACGGACAGTGTTTACACTTGTGTGGCTTCTCGCCTGTGTGACAGCGGCTGTGCATGTTGAGCTTGTCCCGCCGACTGAAGCGCTTGTGGCACAGCTCACACTCAAAGGGCTTCTCACCTGGTCAGAGTTACACAAAAAGTCCTGGAGTTTATTTTACAGGTCTGTCTTTTTGCTCTTTTCATTTCCTTTTTAAAAACAGAAAGCACATGGTTTTTCTTTTCTTTTTTTATTTTATACTCAAAAAAAGAWAGAAAACAGACCGTCTTAACATTTTTGCCAAACAGGAAGTTCACCATGACTGTCACGACAACTCAAGGTGTGTAAATACACAACACTCTGCTGTCAACAGTTTGCTGCTTTCAGCTCTATTAGCATGGCTTTACACAGGCTTCATGCAGGTTTCACCAAGTTACATTTAAGACCTTTTAAGACCATCAGGAATTACAGTTTATTTCAGACCAAACCAACYCATTAAACATTCAAATGATCCCAGAGATTTTAACATAGAAACCTTTCATTGCTATCAATTTAACTATTAAATAATATTTAATTTTAATACAAGAACATAGGGCTAGGCGGTATGACCTCAAATTTATATCAGAGTATAAACTGAATCCCTTCATGATAACCGTGTATATCGCAGTAGAAAATGATCATAAAAAGTTAAGATGTCATTTTTGGAGCATTTTTTTGCAGAAAACTTTTCATTAAACCCAACATTTTTACTTTAATATCAACCTGTCAAACAATGAGCTTCTGCTGCTGAACTTATCAGCTGCTGCTCTGCTGCACTCTGACTGGACACCAGGAGTGGGACGCTGTGGACCACCACGTCCTGGCTGCCCAGGCTCAMGTCTGGCACCAGGCCCGGTACGCCAGGCTTCAACAGGTCCACGCCGAGCGCAGCGGGCGTCGTSACCAGCGTGGAGTCGTCTTTCACTGAGAGCTCGGCGCTGCCGTCGTGGATCAGAGCGCCGAGGCCCTCCAGGTCGGAGCAGGAGCTGAGCAGAGTCTGGGGGCTGCTGGGGTCCTGGGTGGTCCCGGCAGGGTGGAGGGGCGTGCTGTGGTCCGAGCTGAGCTGGGCCAGCAGGACCGTCTGCGGTTGGGTCTGCACTGACCCGACAGGCTGAGAGGGAGCCAGCAGGCTGACCTGATGGATCACAGAGTTAACCACCAGGTCCTGGTTCTCAGGGCTGAGCAGGACCACGTTGGTRCTGCTGGTACCGTCCACATCTGCAGGGACCAACGAGGCCTGCTGGCCCAGAGGAGCCAGGATGATCTTCAGCAGGGTGCTGGTGGAAGGGTCCGGCTGAGCGCTGCTCTGCGTTGGAACAGGAAGTGGTCCGGCTGCGTGGGGCGGGTCACACAGCTGCAGCTGTGGTTGTGTGTCTCTGTGCTGCTTCTTGTGGCTGCGCAGAGAGTCCTCCCTCACAAACGAGGCGTCACACAGGTCGCAGCAGAACGCCCGAGCCGCGTCCAGCTTGGCCCGGTACCTGGAGCCCACCGGCTTGGTCAGGTCGCCCCCCGCCGTCTTGCCCCCGCCCCTGCCGGGCTCGGTGCCGCCCCTCTGGGGTTTGTCCAGGTGACACTTCTTCTTGTGGATGAGCAGGTTGCTGAGGCGCTTGGAGGCGAAGCTGCACAGGTCACAGCTGAAAGGCCGCTCCTCAGAGTGCGTGCGCTCGTGCGCTCTGAGCGCCGCCCTGCTGGAGCAGGAGTACGAGCAGCGGCAGCACTGGACCGGCTGGACGGGCCGGTGCTGCCTGCGGTGCTGGCGCAGGCCCGTCCTGCTGGAGCACCTGAAGTCACACTGCTGGCACTGGAAGGAGGTCTCGGGGCCGTGTCTGATCTGAACGTGGGACTTCAGGTTCCCCTTCATGGCGCAGCGGTACTCACACAAGTCACACTTGTAAGGTTTCTCTCCTGAGTGGGTGCGCAGGTGCCTCTTCAGGTCAGAGTTGATTTTAAACTTGGCGTCGCACTGCTGGCACTGGAAAGGTGCYTCTCCTGCAGGAAGGAAGCAGAACAGGTGAGCAGACAGCAGGAAGCAGCAGGGTTGGGCAATACTGGAAAAATAATTAATCATGATTAATTAT